TGTTCTTTCCAGCAACCGTGACGTAAATGAGGCTCCTTAGAAAGCGCCACCTGGCTTTCCTCAAGGCACACGCCTTTAATCCCAGCACTTGGGAGGCAGAGGCAGGTGGATTTCTGAGTTTGAGGCCAGCCTGGTCTACAGAGTGAGTTCCAGGACAGCCAGGACTACACAGAGAAACCCTGTCTCGAAACCCCACCTTCCCCCCCCCAAAAAAAAGAAAGGCAAGTGAAGATTCTCCAGCTACCATCTCGGAAGACAGTGGAAACTTTTTTCTGGCTCTCCTCTGATTGGCTCCTGTTGATCCTGGGTTATCAATGTCCAGGACATCCCATGAAGGAAGAAGCCAGCAGAGGTGACATCACCATCTGAAATAGCAGGAGGCCAGATGCTAACCCAGTTCTCTCCAGGCAGGCACAGGCATGACAGGTCCATGCTGGTGCTGGGAGCATCGGTTGGTGCATCCACGTTTAATCCTATCTTCCCCACAGACACTTGGCTTCCTTTAGGGTAAACTAATTTTATCCTCACTTCACAGACAAAATTGAGGCTCAAAGATGTTAATACTTCACCCAGGCTCCCATATCTGGTAAGCTGGACAAATGGAGTCTGAGAAAGAGCAAAGCCTGCTGAGACTCCAGAGCCTAGGGACCATTCTGATCTGCCTCCCCAAAGCCCCATCCATAGGATAGTAGTTAGACCACTGACTTCCACTTCTAGATCTCAGAATTCCAGCTGGGGCTGTAGTAGCCCTGCTTCGCTGAGAAGTCTGAAAAATAACATCTTATGTCTTCATTTTGTGTGCATGTCTGTACACATCTGTGGGTACACACATGCCATGCATGTATGTGGATATCAAGAGGCAACATTTAGAAACTGTTTCTCTCTTTTGCATATGGGTCCCAGGGATTTAGGATCCGGAGATATCATTACCTGCTGAGCCATCTTGCCAATGACCCAATCTGAAGTCCCTGGGGTGGTAACACTTCCTCCTTGGGGACAAACTTCTTCCTAACATGGTTGGTTGGGCTCTCTCAGCTGATGCTAACTGTGATCAGGGATCCTTCTCTCTGGGGTCCAGCTAAATGGATTTCACAGTGGCCTTTAGGAACATGTTTTTCCCAGGAGCCATTCCCAACACACATATATCCTACCTCTTGTCCTTCACGGTGAGAACTGCAACCATTTTGTTTCTTGTGGTTGTTGAGGAGTAAAGGCCTGTGAGCCATGCTTGGCACACAGAGGCACAAGTTGTCAGTGATTCTCCTGCACAGTGACTGTCAGTTGGCTTCTCCTCCTTTTCCCTTCATGTGGCTGGGTGATCCGTGAGAGTAGGACACTGGCTCAGCTGGAGGCCAGTATTACTTCTATCTGCTAAGTGGAGAGCCTGTCTCTAAGTGAGGGCTTGCAATCACAATGAATGAGAATTCAAGACCACAGCCCAACTCAACTGTCAAAGTTCATACCAGTGGCAGCTAGGGTCCTGTAAGGCTCATGTAGTATGTCTCTTGATTAGAGCCTTGGGCTCTAGCCATGGCACTCACCTGTCTGGAGTTTCAGTGACCACTGTTCTTAATTCCCAACAAAGACACGCCTACTTGCCTATCGCCCACCATGTTTGTCTGGAAAACTAAGGCAGACGCATCCTGGACACCCAAGGAGAAGGCAGAAATGGAACTGTCCTTTACAAGGAGACAAACTATCCCTTAAGGGCTGAAACTCCCACAAGAGCTCTGAAATCGAATATAAATTTGGGCACTTATGTCTGCTATTAGATTAGGGGAGAAATACTTGGAGAGAAAACAGCCCACTGGTGGTTGGTGGTTAAAGCAGCAAGTTCCTAACACTAGGGTAAAAACTCCCTTGACTTCAAAGCTTCACTGTCGTTTGTGGGGTGGTGTGATTTGAACCCAGGTCTTCATACACACTAGGCAAATGCTCATCCACTGAGCTATACATCTGGCTTTCTCAGTCGCTTTTTCCCGTTGAGATAGACTTTCTCTGTATAGCCCTGGCTGTTCTAGAACTAGCTTTGTAGACCAGACTGGCCTCAAATTCAAGAGATCCACCTGCCTCTGCCTCCTGAGTGCTGAGATTAAAGGCATGCGCCACCACTGCCTGGCTGATAGCCTTTTATTTTTGTTGATGTTAAATTGTTTATTTGTGTGCCCATGTGTGTAGGTGAACAAATACACATTTCAATTCAATAACATTCTCAGAAGTGACTTTCTGAAACTTGTGCCACCCTACAGCTATCTATGGCTTCTGTCACACACCCAAGTGTGCACTGGCTAAAGATGAGGCCCCCGAGGATCTGGAAGAGTCAACCAGAAATTGTTTTAGTGTTCCAGATGTGTCGTCATTCTAGAAACTCATAGACGGCCATCAGAGCTCTAGTGAGTGCCTCCTCTCCGTTTGATCTGTTCTAACTGGAGTATATTTTAAAAGTCTGTAGAGACCGAAAGAGTTGGAATTCTGGGAAATGGCAAGAGTCTCCCTCGATTCCAATGTTCTGAGATACTAGCAGCCTTCTTTTGACAGCTTTTTAAACACTTGAGGGTCAAAGTTTTGTCCCCAAATTCCAGCAATCTGTGTTAGACAGTGGCTTTTAGCATTCCAGAGGAGCCACTTGGGTGTATAATTCTTAGTAAAGGCCACTTGGAGATGAAGTCTCACCTGGGACTATAATCCTGTGTAGTCCCCCAGAGCTTGGGTAGAAGCAGCCATCCTGGAAGGGGTGCAGAGGGAATGTGAATATAGCTCTGGGTAGCCAGGGGCAGCAGAGGTCAGCAGTTCCCATATGTCTTCAGGAAGGGAGGCCAGACATTTGTTGAGTTGAGGCAGGAGATGGAACTAGGAACCTGTCTGGCTGAAGAGGATCCTCCTCCGGATGCTAATGAGACAGCTGGGGCCAGGGTCCTCCCCTGGGTGGTCCCCACCCATCCTTCACTCCCAAGGCAGCTGCGAAAGGCTCTCAGGATCAGTGCCAGGGCCTTCCCTGCCTGAGGCCAAAGACCTCCCAACAAGCATGGCTATGCATCAAGCAGTGAGATAGGGGCTCAGGGGGCCAAGGAGGAGCAGGAACCCACAGAGCCACCCACACTGAGATGGTGATGTGAAATGTCCCAAGGCAGGAGGGGGCTTTATACTGTCAACTGGGATCCCTCTCCCTTCAGGTCTCTGCATAAGCATCACAAGGCCTTTCTAGAACCCTGCATTGAGAACCACACAGCTGCCCAGGCAGAGCTCCTTGGCACTGCGTATGTTCTGTGAGAGCAACACACACCCAGGCAGGTTCCCAAATGTTTGTTGAGTAGTTTGTGTGAATGTGTACATGAATGAATATACACATACGTATGGGCACATGCATATGGGGGCTAGAGGTCAACTTCAGAATTAATTTCTCAAGCACCGTCTACCTGCTGCTTGTGAGACAGCCTCTCATTGGCCCGGAACTCATTGATTAGGCTAGACTGACTGACTAAAGAGCACTAGAGAACCTCCTGTTTATGCTTCTCGAGTCCTGGGATTACAAGCATGTGCTGCTACACCTGCTATTTTTAAAAATTATTCCACTATATGTATGTATGTATGTATGTATGTATGTATGTATGTATGTGTATATATATATGTGTGTGTGTGTGTGTGTTTTCAGTCTCTCAGAGAGGTGTATTATTCAAGTGAAGGTCAGAAGACACATGACGATAGCTCTTTTCCCACATGTAGGTCCTGGGGATTGAACTCAGGTTAACAGGCTTGGAAGTTAATGCCCTTACTCACTGAGTGGTTTCACCAGCCTCCCACCTTGACTTTTATGTGTGTTCTAGGGATTGGAGGTAGATCTTTATGTGTTCATAGCAAACACTTTACCAACTGAGCCATCTCTGCAGTCAGGACTAGTAATTCTAACAAACTGTCATGTGACTATAACTTCCTTTTGACCAAAGGGTTGGCAAGAGAAGCAGCCTCTTGTGACATTCTTTCCAAAAGTTGGGGAATTTCATCACCATAAGGATCATGTAAAAGAACACTACTGTGCCCATTTTGGACAGAAGGTAACCTGGGCTCTGAGCAGCTAGGCTGCCCAGGACCACTTGTGGAGAAGCGACAGGTGATTGGACCCGTGGCTAAGTCTGCTCTGCCTTCCTGTACCTGGCCATCACCCTGTCTCTGGAACCTCCTTTGACCTTAAACTTTTAGGGAAATCCTGACCTCTGCTGAATACCCTCAATGCCCACTCTCAACATCTGCTTCCTGGGGGCTGCAGCCTGAGCTGAATTAGTTAGTCCCAGCTTCCAGAATCTTCCTTACAAAGACTTGGGGGGGGGTCACAGGGAAACACAGAAAGGCCTAAGATATACAGCACATTCAGAGGGGCCTTGATACACCCTTGTTTTATCTTTTTGTCCTTGTTACCTGAAGGGAATATGCTTTGAAGACACTTGAAGCTTCCTTTTACAATGCTGGATGAGAGAGCACTAAGTCTTTCTCTGCTTGATCTTGTACCAGGGATTATGGTGAAAAAACCAGTCCCAGTATCCACAGCGGAGGCGTTACCCCATTCAGAGACAGGAAGTCTCTAGGCCAGCATCCCTCCAACAGGACCAGGTTCCTGGATGTTACCTGGAGCTCTCTAACTAGCTTTGATTGCTCCTCCTCTAAGGCTCCTGCAGGCCTGTGGCTGTGGGTTGCCTTTTTGGAGCCCTGGTCATTACCAGGGCTCAGATCCCAAAGGAGGCCAGACTGGACACCAGCCATAAATACTGCAAGTCAAGAATCTCTTCTAGTATGTTGCCTCTACCACCCACGAGGCCATCATGACCACATCACAAACCTAAAATGGGGTCTTCAACAGCCATCATGGCTCCTCTATACCTTTGACAAAACCCAAACTCTGGAAGCAGCTAGAGCACCCTGGGGTCTTTTGGCTTTTGCCTCTTTCTCCTCAGTGACCACCCCTCAGGGAAGTGACAGCCACTTAGATGGCCAATAAGAGCACAAGGTTTACTAGATTAGAGCTGACGTCTCTCTTTATTCAGATTTCCCCACCCACTGTCAGCATATTGTAAAGCCAGCCTCAGGTTCAAGGTCTGGGTTCATGGGCCCTCTACCTCCTTAGGATTCCCCAGGTCTGCCCAGCAACATTTCTTTCCAATTCACAAACAGAGAGATGGAGGCTCCATGGGCACAGCCAGTCTGGCAATCTTTAATAAGAAGAGAGGCCTTGGCCAGGGCCCTGTGTGTCGTCGCTGGGCTGTGGTTGTCTCTGGCCGAGATTCAGGGAGCTGCTGATATGATGTGTGAGGGTTTCCAGCCTCTGGGTCAGGTTTGGGATCCCAGATCCTCCTAAAGAGCAATGAGACTCAAAGCCTGTACCCCAAGCCTAAACTGGCTAAGGCCCAGGATCATCTGAGAAAGCCTCAAGTACACTTTTCCCAAGTTCCTGAGCTCCAGTAGAGGTCAGCGCCAGAGGAAAGGACTCTCTGCCCTGAGACTCAAAGTCTGGGATCTAGAAAGTCCTTAGAAATCACCTCCTACCCTTCAAGATGGGAACCACATGGCACACAAAACATTAACCCCCAATTTTCACCTCTTAGCACATGTGGCATGTTCGAGGGCTCTGCAGGCAGGGGTGGTGCAGAGGGTACCACTTCCTCTCCCGTCAGCATCTCTGCTAGGACTCGTGTCTGGGTCCAGTCACTATGGCTTCTAGATGAATGTGGAGGAAAAATGAGCCAACTGGCTCCAGGCCTCCCACTCCCACTTCATACCCCAGGCTTGGCCCACCTCTCTCGGGGGGGCTTGGCAGAGCCTGGGCTTGGCGGAGGTGCCCAGTGTGGGGGCCGCACAGACGGAGACATGTGACCTGGGGCTTCGGGCTCCAGCACCTGCTGAAAAGACCAAAGCTCGTGCTGGAAGATCTCAGGCTTTCCTGTCTGGGTACCATTTCCTCCATGCTGAGCCTAACCATGCCCATTGCACAAGATGCCAAGGACAGCCGGCCAGTATACAGAGCTGGGTCTCTCATTTCCTCTGTGGGCTACAGATGGTTCTTGAAATGTCTCCTCCAGGGATTGGGAGATCCTTGAAGGCAGAAACCAAAACAGAGGCGGGCCCAAAGCTTAGGCAGACTTAGGGAAGCTTCCAGAAGGAACGAGTGAATGGATGAGGAAACAAAAGCAGAAGTGAATGGACACATATGAACGTGACAGTAAGTGAACTTCCTAAAAGAAGGCCGGGCTGGGGGCCAGGCACACAAGCATTCCATGTCCTGGGCAGAGAGAGGGACCCAGCATATCCTGTGCCCCTATCCAGGGCTGTGGAATCACCAGGGCTGCTGAGCGATGGGTCAGTGTCTTCAGTACCCTCCTACCTGTGGCATGTGGTACTCTCTCCGTGGGCAGGCCCAGTGGGCCAAGGACACTCGGCACAGAGGACAGAGGTGATGGCAGTAGCAGAGGGGTGGCAGTCCCTGCAAGAGGTACGTCATTGACTCTATGACACTCTAACTTGTCTCCCACAACCCAGGATACACAGTGAGAGACTCACATGGCAGGAGGCGGCTGGAGCCATCCTGCAGGGGCACATGGGGGTAGAGCCCTGCTGGGGAAGGGAACAAGCCAAAAAGAGGCGCCTGGGAAGAAGAGCAGGGCCTAAGTCTTCAGTCTCCAACCTGAACACCTCTCTATGAACTCATCCCCTTATCAGCAAGGCACCCAAGCCAAGACACCCATTTCCCAGAAGAGTTAATGATCAAATGACTAGCTCAGGGTGACACATGCAGACAGGAGGTGGCAGAGCCAGAAGCTGGAGCCAATGATCAGACGTAGAAGCATGACTCTCATTTGTTCTTCAAAGTCCCCTCTGCCAGCTTCCACGTCCCAGGCCTTCCCTATGGCTACACTCACCTCTCCAGTTCATGGACCTGCTGGGCCAGAACACGCTGCTCTGCCCGGGCCAGGTCCCGGCTACTCTGCAGCTGTCTCATTTCCTTCCTAGTGGAGAGTAGGCGCTGGGTGATGGGAGGTAGGGCCAATACTAAGAGGAAGGCAGGAGCCAAGGGGAGTAGAGAACCAGATCTGGGTAGGTTGTATCTTAGCCAAAGTAGATAAGCAGAAAGGAGTAGGGTGAGAGTTCCAGTGCTGGCCTAATCAGGCTTTACCTGAGATTCTCATTCTCAAGCATAAACTCCTGCAGCATCCCATAGAGGTTCCGCTGGGCCCAGGCCACCCGGGCTCCATGGGCCCCTGATGCTGCAGGGAAGCAGGACATTGCTGGACTCGAAGCCACCCAGACTCTAATCCCGCCCCATCTTGGCTCTCAGGAAGCTCATACCCCTGGTGTGCATTTGATCCAGCTGGAGCCGCAGATGACGGTTCTCCTCTTGGAGCTGTAGCAGCTCAGCCTCTACTTGCTGGGGTGGCTTTGCTCCAGGGGACTACCAAAGAAGAAGCCCAGGGCCACTCTTTATGGTTGTATCGGTTGTCCCCAGTACAATGGCTTTCTGGCGTGAGGATTTGTGGAGCCTAAACGTCAGCCCCTGCTTCACTTGCCAGCTTCACATGCTGGCCTAGGTTATCCCTTGTCCTTACTGTGTCGCCCTGAAGGGATTCCAGTCAGAAATGGACTTGATTCCAAGCCTAGACTCAATTCTGCCCAGTCTTGACTTACATAGTGATCTCCAAATTAACCACATATCAGACCCCATATTAGATCTGACCAATTGAAATCCTGAGTAGATCTTGATAACAGCCCATGCAGTCTCCAGCCCTAGGCCTCCCCAGACTCTGTGACATAGACCCTTGGCTATGACTCTGATATCAATCATGACATCATTCCCAGAATTCCAACCCAAATCCTAGATCCTCTGATCCAATCTTAGATTCCAACCAAGATGGTAACTGGCTCTGGCTGTCTGTTTCTTCCCCACCTTGGGACCTTGTGGCCGGGTGGTGATCCTCTGAGCTCGGCTTGCATATCGCAGAGTGCTGAGTGTCTCAGGAAGGCACTGCGCTGAAGGGGACACGCAGGCAACCTAGAGAGGCCCGCCCCTGAGTGCTTATATGGAAAAGACCTCTCTTTAGGGCTCAGACCCTCTACCAGCTTCCCCATCCATAGGATACCATGAGCGTGACCCCACGGCCCCCAAGTGAGTCTGCCAGGAGCTTGGTGAGCTTGCTGTCCCGGAAGGGAATGTGGCTCTGCTTCTTCTGTGGGTCCAATAGCAGGGAGATGCAGTGGCCTGGTGGAAAGAGAAAAGCCCAAAGAGATTGCACTGTGTGAGCCAAGTTGCCTAGCGAGGCTGCTGCAGAGCAGGAAGCCCTGCCAGGCTGGTGAAAATTTAGCCACACCCCATTGCTTTCACATTGGTGTCTAGCAGCAGACTGGCATCTCTGAAGGCACAGATGTGCTGTCCACTCAATTCTCAATATTCAGCAGAGACTTGAGAGATCTCCAATCAATAACTGACCGAAAAAGAATGTCACCAGCAGCTGCCACACCATAGGCAAGTAGTGAAGCTAGAGACCTAGGGCCAGCCATGCCATTGGATACACAGACGTATTCCTTTTTCTGTACTGTGCCTGCATTCCAGGAATACAAGGCACATATGTAATAATGCTGTCCTTGGAATATACAGACTGGTAACTATCTATCACAAGGGGAAAGTCAGCCTCAGACTTGATGCCAGAACTCTAGCCCTCATCTGTAACCCAAGTTCTGTGGTCTCACTAGTGTAGCAATGGGTGCAGATCAGAGAAGGGACCCAAAAGTCAGACCAGTAAGCCCCCAGGTCTTACCCAATGCCAGTAGGCTGCGGTTAATACTATTGGCCTCAAGCATCAGCTGTCCTCGGGATCCTGTGGCTGCCACCTTCTCACTGCCTGCAAGGTCCACGAAGCACAGCTTTCCTCCAACAGGGGGCTCCCCAAGGTCTACAGGGGGTACCTGCTGAGACTGGTGAACCAGGGCTTGATGGGAACTTGGAGAGGACTGTCTCCATCAAAGTCACAGTGTCTCAAGGTCAAAGGTTTCCTCCCCATATACCCAGAAGATCCACGTTGTTTTATACATGCAAAGGCAGAGTCTTGATAGGTACCCCGAGCCAGCCCTTCCACAGGCTGGGCACTCACAGTTGAGCGGCTGATGTGCAGTGTGAGAAGGGCATGGCTTCTGCTGGAGGCCTGGTTCAAGGTATGTGAGGAGCTCCGACGACGGCTGAGACCTGGGGAAGAGGACATCAGGGCCTGTACCATCTAGGAAGAATGGGCCATCTCAGTGAAAGGGCATCCCCAAGGAGCAAGAACGTCAGGTAGGTTTCAGGACAGAAGCATGAAGGGCTGGCTTAGGGAGTGATGGGTACCAACTTTGGTGCTGCCAGGTGCAAGGAGTATGGGAGAAGGGAGCAAAGAACATCAGAGAAGTACCTCTCCTACTGTGTGGAAAGACAGAGAAATGAAAACAGAGATCAGCAGAGAAATGTAATGTTAGGGCCAGATCCAGTGTCCTAGTGTCCCCAGTGCCTGCCCGAGGAGGGTTCTAAGTAAATGCTCAAAGGAGGAAGGAACAGTGACCTCATAGACAAGCTAGGCTAAGAGATATGAGCACTTCTCTTAGGCTCTGCAAGGGTGGAAGGTGAAACCAAGAGGAGTAAGAGACAGGAACACACAATCTGGAAGGCAAGGCAACCAGCCTGCGGCCATCTTTGCCATGCCTTTGAATTGCTGCTTTGCTGGCCCTTCTCTGCCTCAAGAATCCTTTTTTTAAGTGCCAGTTCCAGCATCCTAAGTCCAGGGAGCCTCAGAGGGAGTTTAGGAATCCTTGCCCCAAAGTTCCCACGAGGCAGCCTACCCATCTGCAGGAGCTCCATCAAACCCTCCAGACTTCCAAACTCCACCACCCGAAGCTGCTCCACAAAGAAGCCTCGTGCTTTGGTCCACCTAACAGGCAGAGGCCGCGGAGACCCCAGACTCAGCAAGTCCCAAACCTGGGAGGGGAAGGAGAAGAAACAGGCTCATAGCCTTTTGACAATGGTCCCGTCTCCTCTTCCGCTTCTTAGCATCCTTGGTCCTTGGAACATAAGACCTTTCAAGGTGGACTGCCATTCGCTTACCTGCTCATTGTAGATCTCCAGGTAGGAGGCTCGGAGGGTGACAGGGGAATCCAGGTGCTGCACACGATCTAATAGCCAGGTGAAGGTCCTCTGCATGATGCCAGCCAGGTTGGGGGGCACGGGTACCCCTTCCCCCTGGAGGCAAAGACAGCTGGGGCTGCAGTAAGGACCACCCTCTTTCCGGAGCACTAAATGCTCCAGAAGCCATGCCATGGCCCCGACAGTATCTCATTGAGATCTCACAGGCTGTAGTTCATCTGTGCCACCCTAGTGACGAACTAACTAAAAGCAAATAAGAGAAGCTGTCCAAATTGGAACACAAACGCTCCAAACTCTGCAAGTTCCTCAGATACCAGCTCTGTGAAACAATGGGGGTGGGAAAGCGTTGTCCACGCCCCTTCCAGCCCGGAGTCCCACCCACACACAACCCGGCTTCACCAGGCTGCCCACCTGTGGTGGAGGTCCAGTCAGAGTGTAGGTCTTCCCAGAGCCAGTCTGGCCAAAAGTGAAAACCGTGCAGGAGAAACTGTGGGCGGCAAGGACGGGACTGAGCCTAAGAAGCAGATGTACGGGCAGTGTGAGAACCCAAGCCTCGTGCGGCCCAAGCATCACTCACCCTCGCAGCGCCAGCTCGCCCAGGCGCTTCACACCACAAGCTCTGAACACGTCCTCCTGCGTGCTCGCCCCGTCCAGTACGGCGCCAAAGCGGAATGCCACGTCGGGGCCTCCACCCGGAGGGCTCACCTGAAGAGAGGATGGAGTAGGGGCGGGATACCATGTAGGGATGGGGCACTCAGAGAGGCAGACACTCTGGATTGAGCAGGGTATCTAGGAGGGGTGGGACACTCTGCGGTGGGGGAGCACATCCTGAGGAGGTGAGACTATCCAAAAGAGGGCGGGCCCTCTATGGGGGAGGAGAGAGGGGTCCTAAGGCAAAATTGCTTTTTGCATAAATCCCCTCCTCAGGTTCCTTTACAGGGCTTGGAAAGGCTTCTCACCTGCAGAGTCCTGGTCCCTGAGCAGTGCAGTGCACTCTGCTCCCCTCTACGAAGCTCTACTGTGCTCATGGGACGCACCCTGGCACCCAAGAGAGACAGATGGTCCATCCAGATAGTGCCGTTGGTCCCTTCCTGGCCCGGGTGCCTCCTAGCCGACCCATACTTACCTGAGCACGACTTGAATGGGGGTTTCTGTTCCTTCCAGCCCTTGCTCCAGGTTCCGCGCTGGGTCTCTGGGACCATATGAGAGTTACCATCCCTGCCCTTAGTCGCTGTCATCTGGGAGAGCTTCAGGGTATCCGTAACCGCAAACAAGTTGTACTTACCCATCGGGAGTCCCACGTTCCTCCATGTCTTGTACTATACGATTCCTTTCCCTTTCTAATATGCCTCCCCCTCACCACAGCAAGACTATCCAGACACGCCTTACATCCATCCCCCTCCCCAGTCTCCCAGTCAGTCATCCAGAAAGACTGCAGCCTGCCCAGAGCTAGCAAGTTAAAGATTTACTCACCCCACCCGTGAGGTGGGGAAGTTCCATGCCAGGGCATTCTAGCTAGGGGGGATTCTGGAGTCTAAAAATCTCTCGCTTTTGGTCAGTCTTCTCTGGATACATCTAAAGGATTACCCAGACCATCTTCTTGTGTCTCAATGACATAAATAAGGATGGGAAGGGCTCAGCTAAGGCCACAGAGCCAGAGAAAGAATGGAGCTCTCCTGGCCCACACCCTCCCTCTCCCAATAGCCTTTCCTTAGCACAGAGCCCAGGGAGTGAAGGACCACAGAAAACCTGACTGCCTGGTTGGCCTCTGGGCTGAGCTGACATCAGCTTCCCAACATCTGGTTAAATATTGGTGCGCCTGCCTCTGCCAAGCCAAGGCTAATCCAAAGCCAGTGTGGTGTTTAACCCCATTGGCCTGGTTCACCAAAGCAGCCACAGCAGCAGAGATGTCTGTGAGCATGCTCAGGCTGGACCACCACTTTTCCCTGCCAGGATGACTCCAGGCCTGATAAATCCTAAGCAAGCCTGCCTACTGCTGCAGATGAGAGGAGTGGGAATAACCCACATGTATGGAGTCTCTGAGGAAGCACAGAGGTTTGTAGCTGGGTGCGCGGAGTGTGAGAGCAAGTGAGGAACTCCAAGTGACGCACATGACTCAGTAAGGTAGGGAAGAGGTGCAAAGGTGGAGCATGGAGAGATGCTTGGGGCTAGTGAGAGCTCCATCTTCTGGACTCCTCAGAGAACCAGGAAGGCACTCAGGGTCACAAACAGAGAACTGAAAAGCTGCCATTGAATCAGCAAGAGGAGAGGAACATGAGAACACAGAAGGCATCATGGGCATTGTCTGCCATAGGGTACTCTAAGCCTGGAGCTTCTACTCTGGGTTAACAGTAGAGGTGATGAAAAGGTCAGATCTTGAATAGAATTACATAGATGAGTATTAAGAGGGGTAAGTATAACTGTAAAGAACTACTGTCTTTTTCTCTTTGCCTCTCTATGTCTCTATCTCTCTTTGTCTCTCTGTTTCTCTGTCTGACTGTCTGTCTGCACACACACACACACACACACACACACACACACACACACCACGGCACAGATGTGGAGGTCAGGTGTCGGTCTTGCCTTCCACTAAGGACTGGGGAAGATCTAGCTCTCTTGTCAGAGAGCCTAGCATGAATGAAGCCCTAAATTAAGTCTCCAGTACCACAAAAACTAGGCACATACCTAAAGTCCTAACACTCAGGAGGTCAAGGCAGGCATCAGAAATTCAAGGTAATCCTTAGCTATGTAGCAAGTTCAAGGCCAGCCTGGAATCCGTACAGTAGTTAATCTTAGTTGGAATTGTCCAAAACACAAGCAGCTGGGCACTCATGGAAGGGACGCTTTTGATCCTGTTATTTGAGGTGGAAGATACTGCCCCTCAATGTGGGTAATACCTTCTGGTGGCAGCCCAGAGAAAAGGACATCAAAGAAGAAAACTTTGCTTTTCCCCTGCTTGCTTGCCCTCACTCTGCAGGCATGTTCATCTGTCCTGTGGCTGACTCTGTTGCAGCATTCTTTTGCTCATATTAGAATCAGCTCCTTCAACTTCCCACATAGATGAGGAATAGACAAGTCCACTGTCATAGATGGTGTATGCATCGGGGTTCTCTAGAGGAACAGATATAATGATAATGGAAGGTATATGCAGATATATAATTTATTATATTGACTTTCAGTAGTTTGTGTAGTCCAGCAATGTCTGTCTTCACACAGGATCTGGTAGTGCTCAGTCTATAAGTCTGGTGGCCTCAGCACTACCAATCTGGCATTGCAGGCCTGAAGGGATGGTACAGAGCCACTAGTATTCAGCTCATGTTGGAATGATGAAGAACCTGGGTATGGGTATCAGGGAAAAATGGTGGCAGTATTGAGTGGCAGCAGCAGCAGCAGCATAGATGAACTTGTGAACAGACTAGATGAGCTTCCTAGCAAGACCCAAAGGCAAATAGCCAAAAACAAAAACTTTTCCCTTAGAAAATCTTGTATCTGTTCTGCCACTGGGATGTGCTATCCACATTAAGAGAGGTCTTTCCACCATAACTGTTGATGGGCCATTCTATGGGCTAGAGTCCTAGGTTGAATAAGAAGGAAGCAAGCTGAACTGCAGTATCCATCAGTCTCTGCCTCCTGACTGAGGATGTAATGTGACCATGTATCTTAATTTCCTCTGCCAAGACTTTCTCTTTTCCATCACGATGGACTGTGTGCCCTTAAACTGTGAGCCAAAACAGACTCTTCTTTACACTTTTCTGCAAAAATGCTGAGTCACAGTATTGATAAAGACAGCTAATGCCAAGGATTAAAAACCAAATGTGAAAGAGCATATAAAGCTATTTTTTTTCTAGTTTTGGCTGCATTGTGTTTCTCCTTCTGTTTTGAGGGTGGATCTGTGAGTTCAACTTCCTGTGTCTTGAAGCAGCAACAACTGTTCTTGTGTTCCAAAAGAACCCAACATACATTATTCCTTTCAGGCCATAACTGTGAAGATTGAGCTCTCAGTTTTTAATTCCACTGACCATTAGTGCCTTAGGAACAAGACATGCAAGTCATCACAGACTTTTGTCACATTGACCCATTTATAAAAGGTAGTTTAAAAAAATAATGTTCTGGGGCTGGTGAGATGGCTTCTAGAGGTTCTGAGTTCAATTCTCAGTAACCATATGGTGGCTCACAACCATCTGCAATGGGATCTGATGGCCTTTTCTGGTGTGTCTGAAGACAATGACAGTGTACTCATCTACATTAAATAAATAAATAAATCTTTAAAAACTAATACACTGGTTATTTTTAAAAAATAATTTTCTGGAGAAGAAGTGTTTTATAACCTGAAAACTCTTATCCACCTTCCCTTCTTTAAAATAATATCAGCCAGACACGATGGCATAGAATTTTACTCCCAACACTCAGGAGTCAGAGGTAGCCGATCTCTGACAGTTTAAAACCAGCCTGCTCTACATGACAACTTGCAGTTTAGCCAGGGCTACATAATGAAACTCCGACTCCAAAAGTGGTTGTTTAAAACTGTATCAAATCATATTAATTTAATGTTATTTAATGTGTATGTTATCTTGCTATACATAAAGTATGGCTTTAAAATAAACTGTTTAGATAAATCATCTGAGCCAGTATGATGATGTGGTGAGCAACGGTACTTAAGGAATTTGATTCTTGGTAACTGTATAGTGGAAGAAAAGAACAGACTCTCACAAGATGCCTTCTGACCACACATGCACTGCAAAAATACATGAACCCCTGCACAAAAATGCACACAGATGCAGATAGGTAGATAGATAGATAGATAGATAGATAGATAGATAGATGCAAAAAATAGAAGACAAACAAAAACAATGATGCTTGCTTTCATCTCAGGAAGCTGGAAGGACAGCATAGTCAGCCAGGAAAAATGAAAGAAATTTTACAGGTAAGAGCAGAAGCTGATGTAATACACAACTGACACAGCACAAATGCCAACAAAGACAAAACTTGTGTCTAAAAATAGTGAGGGGGCTGGAGAGATGACTGAGCGCAAGTCCTTGCTCTCTCAGAGGACCTAAGTTCAATTCCCAATACCTTTACAGCTGCCCATAACTCTAGCTCTGGGGGATTGAACGCCCTCTTCAGGCCTTCAAGGGTACCCACACAATAGCAAATGTGTGTCTTTAGAATTAGCCAGTTGGACATCATTTAGAAGAGCCAGTTTTGTTAACAACACCGACAGTGCTGCAATGGGGAGCCAGGGGATGTATCTCTTCCCCTCCAGATGCTGGAAGAGAAGATGAGGCTGGAGTCACTGCCTCTTCTGCTTCAGACACCATCCTGACAAAAAAGGCAAGAGTTGGCTTTGGGATGAGATCATTAATTCATATAAATGCCAAGTTAATTAATACACACAGAGGGAAGTAAGCAAAAAACAAAAAACAAGCAATTTCGGAAACAAAGAGGGGACTTAGCTATGAAAATTATAGACATTAAAAAATAAGACTCTCCTATAAATGCTTTTATGCTAATAAGCTGAATTGGCTCTGTTCGTAGTTTGCAGACAAATCTGTTTAGACACTCAGTAAAATAGTTAGGGGAAATGAGTAGATATCTGTCTAATTGTATATCTGTTGAACAAGGTGAATTCACAATTGAAAAACTCCCTACAAAGGAAACTTTTGGCCCAGCAGTCCTCACTGGGGAATCTTCCAAACACACAAACACACACACACACACACACACACACACACACACACACAC